AGGGAGAGGGGGAGAGAGGGAAACATCAATGATGAGAGAGAATCATTAATTGGCTGCCTCCTGCACGCCCCACACTGGGGATTGAACCCACAACCCGGGCATGTGCCCTGACTGGGAATCAAACCCTGACCTCCTGGTTCATAGGTCAATGCTCAACCACTGAGCCACACCGGCTGGGCTTGGAATGTTTTTTGAATGTCTTTTGAACCTCATGGTTCTCAGACCTCTGCTTATTCAAAACCAAATGTCTCCTACCCTCTTCCCTCACCCCTGTCTCATATAGGCTTGTGGCTTTAGTAGCTGTTTGCTTTATGTTTTGTTTTGTTTTTTAATAGAATTTCTTAACTATGAGAAATTATGGCCAATTTCTTTTTTTAAAAAATTCAAATTTAAAAACTGTGATAGGAAAAGGCTTGACCCACGTTGGTGCTTTCCTTGGCTTGGTAGAAATAGTTGCATGTCCTATATTTGGAGTTGATATCTTTTCACTCGTGTAGAGAATTAATTTAGCTGAAGCAAAGTTATATAAATTGGAAAGTAAAATGTTTCATTTAGAGCTATCCTATGGCACCTATTTGTATAACTGACAAGAATTATTGAAAAACTGTTCTTTTTAAATAGTAATTGAACAATCCATAGAGTTCACTGAACTATTTTCATGTCAGGGAGTGTTTGCAGTATTTAGGGTAGACATGGTTGCAGCATGGTATAGTTTAGTGAATAGGAAAGATACATGGACAGGAATGTGGTGTAAATGTGTGCATGATGTACATAGCATGTCCAGTAAAAGTACCTTTGCACTCAGCTGGTGTGGTTCAGTGGTTGAGCTTCAACCCATGAATCAGGAAGTCACCATTTTGATTCTCTGGGTCAGGAGGGCACATGCCCCGGTATCAGGCTCGATCCCCAGTAAGGGGCATGCAGGAGGCAGTCTATCAATGATTCTCTCTCATTGTTGATGTTTCTCTCTGTCTCCCTCTCCCTTCCTCTCTGAAATCAATAAAAATATGTTTTAAAAAAAGAATTATTGAGATCTATTTATAGATGTAGCCAACAATGTAGATGTAGTATTGTAGGGCATCAGACTGGATGAATGATCTCTATGATAGGTGAAGTGCATGTATAAACACCAGCTTTCTCTAATCTAATTGCTGAATTGTGTTGGTGATCATACTGTCAGTGATTCACTCAAGTTCTTTGGAGCTTTGAGATGCCAGATGTCCAGTACACATATAGACTCACATGGAGGAAAACCCTAGGTCTTGTATTTGAAAACTGCACTACTGTTTTTTGCTTTACCCTGTAATACATTTGTGTTGGTTTATCTTTTTTTTTCTTCAGTGCTCAATCATTGCTTTTTTTTTTATATCAAGTAGCTTTCAACTAACTCTGATTCCAATTCCATTTATTAAATTTTGGTTGGCTACTATTGAGTGCACTATCTATTGCATTACTTTTTTTTTTTTTAAGCTTTCAATTCTTTTCCCTAATGTCATCCATTGGTAACTTCTCTTTATTTTTGTCTTTTTTAATCTTCTGTAATACAATTCTAAGTCTTTCTATGGCACTTCTTTCCTTTCCATGAGCTGCATTGACTTACTACTCAGGTGAATCTGGCCAAACTTTTGTATTCTCTTGTCTATTGGCACTTTCTTGGTTTTGAAAAGTAACTGTTCCAGTGATAAAAATGTGTTTCTATCTTTGAGATAACTGCTGTTCTAGATGTCTTAGTGTTTTTTTAATTTTATTTTTCACATAATTTAATTTTAAACTAAATAGACCAAATTTGAGTTCAACTCTATTAGAATAAGTTAGTGGAGCAGAGACAGGGAATTGATCATTTTAAATGGGTATTTGCAGTTACTTTAAAAAAAAAGCTTACTGGTGACAGAATGAAGTTGTAAAACCCTAAAGAGATCCAATTTAGAATCAAGGAAACAAGATGCCCTGAGTGTAAAGAGCTATCCCAAGTAACTTTTTAAATGGGGAGGGGAGAAGGGCAGTTACTTCAATGAATTGAGCATTAGGTTTTGAGTGATGAATGAATGGAAATTATTGGGAATTAGTACATAGAGTAAGCTAAGTAATGAAATTCAAGCTTACATCAACCGAAGGTCAGCTTATTATCCTTCTCTAGTCCTTAAATGTTTTTAACACTGTGGCATCTCTTTTTTTTATTCACAGATGCATGCTGCTCAGCGTAGGGATGGACCTCTTGTACTCATAGGCAGTGGGCTTTCTTCAGAACAACAGAAAATGCTCAGTGAGCTTGCAGCAATTCTTAAGGCTAAAAAATGTGCTGAGTTTGACAGTACAGGTGAGGATTCTTTATTCATTTTTGGTAGAAAAAATTTTAAATAGGTTAATCCTTTGTAGTACTCCATTGGGTTATCATTATATACTTTTCATCTTGTAATAAACTTAAAATCTTCCTATAGTTATAAACTATTTATAGGCTTAATTTGGTGAGGAAATGTAAAGTTTAAAGCTTTGCTCTTAGTTTAGTACAGAACAATATATCAGAAAAGCAAACTTTTGAGTTTGCTAATGACAAATAAATTGAAGTGCATGTAATGCTTTAAATCCTCAGTTTTGATTTGAAAATAAAGGAAAAATTATGGTATATGCTAGTGTGACTTTAAGATATTTGCTGTATGAAATGATTGTTCATGTTGGTGGCCCAACTTCAGAATGATGATCAAAGAAGGCTTCTAAATTTAAAAATTGTTTTTGAAAAAAATTCAGATAGAAGCATATAAAGTGTAGACTAGTTATAAAATGCAGACTGTTTAAATAATTATTTTGGTTTCTGAATCTGTTTCTCTTATTGCTTTTTTTGTGTTCTAGTGACTCATGTCATTATTTCTGGTGATACAGTTCAAAGTACCCTGAAATGTATGCTTGGGATTCTCAATGGATGCTGGATCCTGAACTTTGAATGTAAGTGTTAGAGTTGAGAGAATTACAAAGTGAATCAAGTAGACTAATTTCATTTTTCATAGTTCACTGTTGCCAATAATTGTTTAAGGAACTTACCTCTGGTTAGTACTGCATTTTACAAAAGCTTGTCATATTTATGGTATCATTTTGATGTTCTTGTTAAATGTCCATAGATACGTTCTGGTTTCAAAGTATTTTTTTCTACAATACCAACTATTTTAATAATGCATAAATGGATTGTATAGTAGACTCTTTAAAAAATTTACCTTTATTGATTTCAGAGCGGAAGTGAGAGGGAATCAATGATGAGAAAGAATCGTTGATCAACTGCCTCCTGCACGCCCCCCTACTGGGGATCGAGCTCACAATCCAGGCATGTGCTCTTGACTGGAATCGAACTTGGGACCTTCAGGCCAATGCTCTAACCACTGATCCAAACTGGCTAGGGCTGTATAGTAGACTTCTTAAGCCCAAGCAATCCATATTACTATTTTTTTAAAAATATATTTTACTGATTTTTTACAGAGAGGAAGGGGAGAGGGATAGAGAGTTAGAAACATCGATGAGAGAGAAACATCCATCAGCTGCCTCCTGCAC